ACAGAATTTATGCTTGTAAAACATATATGAAATTAATCAACAGTAGCATGTCAGTATATTTAAAATCATTACAAATCTCTGTTCATATTGCCCATGAAAAATTACTGTGGTATATATTTAGAGCAGGACTTGGCAAACTGTGGCCTAAGGGCCAAATCCAGCATGCTTCTTGTTTTTGTAAATAAAGTTTTATTAGAATACAGAAATGCTTGTTTATTTACATATTGTCTATGGCTACTTTTACTCTGCAAAGGGAGAATTGAGTAATTTTAATGCTAAATGACCCGCAAAGCCAAAACTATTTGCTGTCTGCCTCTTAACAGAAAAAGTTTGCAAGATGTTAATACTGCATAATCATATGGCATTTTAGTTTCTTCTGGAGATTAAAGCTCTTTTTCATGGGATGAAGTGGCAGAAACATAAAACCAGTTGATGAAAAAAAAAACCCACTTCTGCCATAACTTTGATAATTTTCAGGACACGTATCAACTGACAGTTTTGTCATTCCCTGTTAGGGTTTACATCTCTCCACGATTGTTTTAAGTACCTTTGTAACAGCTTATTCTCTGTGAAATCATTTTACTAACTATAGTCTGGTTGAGAGGATGTATTTGGTTGACTTCATCAGTTTGGCCATGAATAGTGTTCTGCAAAATGCATTGCACCAGCAAGTTTCTTGTACCCGCTACACCTATGCTTAACTCCTTGGAAATAAAAGCACTGTGTATTATATAAACCTTAATGTTAGGGTTTGGATATTTCACAGCTCTTTGCTGTGTTCTCTTAGGAAGAAATTTTCCATAATGTTGCTGTGATTTGTTTTCAGAATCTTTTCAAAGTTAGTGATGTCACTATTCTGATACAAACTTACTAAATTCATTGTTGTTAGAATTCCCTGATCATTTTTGTACAGCTTAACTTCTGGCAAGTCAAGTGGATTTAATCCCAAGTTTTTCAGCATATTTCCTAAGACTAGATATTTTAAGTGGTTGACATAGAACTCCCCAATATATTATCATTGTTGAGGCTTTGAATTTCAGCATGTGAATTTTCAAATTCACCTTTTCTCAAGGCATTTTACCCCTTAATTCTCTCATGACTCCCATGATCAATGGATGAGGGTTGGCAGAGTGATGAGGACTGACCAGTTGTAGAATATTTTTAGTTGTGTTATTTTCCTACCCTACGTGCATTTGAATTTCCGAACCATATATCTCTAATAACTGTGTCCTCAAGTTATCTTCATCACCAATCTGATATGACTGATGTAACTGGCATAGTATATTTTGAAGTTTTCCATATCCCTCTCAATTCTTAATATAATTTATTTAACCTTCACACTTGTATTAAGCCACAATCTCTTAGAATGTTTCAGAACTTCCATTGTTGTTTCATAGAATTTCTGGAGTAAATTCACCTGGCATTTTCTTAAAAAGAATTCTCTTTAGAGGTGGAGATACAATTCAGTGATAGAATTAACAAATTTTTTCAGAATAATTTTTTGTAGCTGTTCCAAATGTAGGTCAATGACATGTCTGTTCATCGTTTCAGGAAAGCTTTGTCAATGTGAAATTCATCTTAGTCGTTGTTTTAATGTTTTCAGTCTCCCTTCTCTTTTTCTTTCAAGCTCCAAAATCTTTCAGAAACTGCATTAATGCTGCTTTGAAATTATAATTCTGATTTTCCAAACCGTCATTTGATTAAATAACTCCCTTCAGACTATTCCAGGTAATAGCCCTTCTTACCAGTGCACAAGAGACCATCCTCTTTTGGCAGACATTTTGGCTGGCTGTTTCATTGTGGTTTTAATTAACCTTTTCATTTGCTTATTTGCCATTTATGTATTTTCTTTTATGAAGTGTCTGCTCAAATTTTTATTCATTTTATTAGATTGTCTTTTTCTTTAAGTTCTAGATATATTCTAGATAAAATTTTTTTCCCACATATCTGTACTACTTGCCTATTTGTTTTTTAAATGGCATGTTGTGTTTTATTTTTTTAATTGTTTATTTTAATTTCACTATTGTTAACATACAGTGTTATATTAGTTTCAAGTATACTATACAGTGATTCTGTCCATTGCGCAGTGCTCATCATGGAGAGTGTATTCTTTAATACCCATCCCCTCTCCCACCACCCCTCTGGTAACCATCAGTTTGTTCTCTGTAGTTAAGAGTCTGTGTCTTGGTTTGTCTGTCTTTGTGTTTTTCCTTTGCTTGTTTGTTTTGTTTCTTAAATTCTACACATGAGTGAAATCATATGGTATGTGTCTTTTACTTATTTCACTTAGCATTTTACTCTAGCTCCATCTATGTTGTTGCAAATAGCAAGGTTTTGTTCTTTATTATGACTAATATTCCATTTGTGTGTGTATACCATATATATATTATACACATACATACGTACACATATATACAGATATATATGTGGCACATCTTCTTGATCCATTCATCTATCAGTGGACACTTAGGCTGCTTCCATAATTTGACTATTGTAAATAATGCTACAATAGACATAGAGGTGCATGTATCCCTTTGAATTAATGTTTTTGTATTTGAGGGGTAAATACCCAGTAATTCGATTCCTGGATGGTAGGGCAGTTCTATTTTTTAACTTTCTGAGGCAACTCCACACTGTTTTCTACAGTGGCTGCACCAGTTTGCATTCCCACCAATAGTGCACAAGGGTTTTCCTTTTTCTCCGCATTCTCACCAACACTTGTTTCTTGTGTTTTTGGTTTTAGCCATTCTGACAGGTGTGAGGTGATAGCTCATTGTAGTTTTGTTTGGGCCTTTTTTTTTTAGTTTATTTATTTAAGTAATCTTTAAATTCAACATGGAGCTTGAACTCACAACACCAAGATCAAAAGGTGCACACTCCTCCGACTGAGCCAGCCAGGTGCCACTCTCATTGTAGGTTTGATTTGCATTTCCCTGGTAATGAATGATGTTGAGCATCTTGTCATGTGTCTTTTGGCCGTCTGTATGTCATCTTTGGAAAAATGTCTGTTCATTTTTCCAATTAATAAGGTTCTTTCCTGATTTAGTTTGGTGCCTCATTCACATGGATCTTGAATTAAACATTAACATTAGAATGATTCTGGTTTGGATAGGGCTGTTGACCACATAGTGTTGCCATTGCTTAGTCCTGAAGAAGTGTTTGGACTTCATTAGGTATATTTATCAAGCATTGACTGACTTTATGCCCTACATTATGCTAGGCTCTCTGGAAATTACAAAACTGAATCACAATTTCTATCCCGATGTGAATAGTTTTATAGGAAAGTTAAAATAAAAATAAAAATAGATATTCTAGGAACCGATGTGTGTATTCTGCATATCACTAGTGAGTGTGTACATATGTGTGTTCAGAGGAGATTGCTTCCTTTCTCTTTTATCAAGTCTTTTCTATATGCATGTCAGACACTGGTAGAAGCTCTTTATAGATTTATATTTTATATATACATTTAATGTAACTTTTACTACAACTTTATAAGGTAGGTGATATTAGTCACAGAAGGTATGAAACTTACCTAAAGTTGTTCAGCTTAAGAAACTGAGCCAACTTTCAGACCCACATATGTGTGCCTCTAAGCTGTGCCCCAGGTTTTAAGACCTTGAGGTAAATATGGATACATCATTTTCATCACTTAGCTGTATATACCTAAAGTAGGACTGGGAACTCTTATTACTTTAAAGGGCTGGAATCATCTTGGGTCTCTCTTTCATTTGTATGAGCATCCTCTTTTATTTTTCCATTTTAAAATCATCTTTATTCAGTTGTAATTTATATACAGTAAAATACACGAATTTTAAGTGAATGATTCAGTACATTTTAACTACCACCATAGTTGTGTTGGATAATGTTTCCATATTCAAACGTCAAAAAGTTCTCTTCATGTCTCTTAAGAATCAGTTTTCTCCATTTAACTCCAGCCTCTTTCAAACACTGATCTACTTTCTAAAACTTAAAATTTTGTCTTTGTAAGAATTTCATACCCATGATATTAATGGAAAATAATCTTTTGTGTCTGGCTTCTCCAGTCACTTAGAAAATGCTTTTGAGGGGCGCCTGGGTGGCTCAGTGGTTAAGCGTCTGCCTTCGACTCAGGTCATGATCCCAGCGTCCTGGGATCGAGCCCTGCATCGGGCTCCCTGCTCTGCGGGGAGCCTGCTTCTCCCTCTCCCACTCCCTCTGCTCGTGTTCCTGCTCTCGCTGTGTCTCTCTCTGTCAAATAAATAAATAAAATCTTTAAAAAAAAAACAACGCACTGTTAAAATAGAAGGTCATGTTTCTGTGCTCCAGTTCTTTAGCATGTGAGCAAATAAAATTTAACAAGGAATTTATTAGAAATACCTGGATGCTTGCTTTGTTGTATAAAGGATTGCTGTGATATTATTGACATTTGTTTAGTTTTCTCCATTGGCAAAAGGAAGGGATATTTTTCCCATAGCCTATTTGAGTCCCTTGACATTTGGTGGTCTAGTTTCATATTGAGTAGACTGCTGTGTGCATTTTTATGCCATTTGCCCTTAGGATAAACCCCAATTAAGGGACTTCTCTTTTTCTTTTGAGAACCTGGCATATGGGCGTCATGCCAAAGGATCATTTAAAGCAGCGATTTTTATACACAGTTTTTCTAATGGGAGCATTTTACCTCCTTTTGAGATTAATTTGAATATTTTCCTGTGGGAAATCCATTTTGATTACATTTTCCCTCTTGCAATAAAGGTCACCAGCTGCACTTCTTGACAGAGATGAATACACATGAGGTATATACAGTAAGCAGGTTCCTTTTCTTCCATATTTTTTTCCTTAATATTTGATTTTGCTTTTGCTTGAACAGTTGGTCCCTGAAGATGCAGTAACTCTGGGCATGCACATGTAGATGTATGTCCCTGCAGCATTTTAAAGCATGTAAATGAGAAGACCTTGTTGTATAAAGTTATACAAATACGTTTGTGATTAACTACTAAACCTCTTTCCTAATGTTTCTACAGGAGTCTCCCCAGGACAGTGCTATCACTCGGGATATTAACCGGACATTCCCAGCTCATGACTATTTTAAGGACACAGGAGGAGATGGACAAGATTCCTTATATAAAATATGCAAGGTATTTCGCATCAAAAAAAAAATCTTAGTTTTGAAAGGTGATTTTGGTTCTTTGAAATTACACGAAAGGTAACTACAAAGTGTAATTTGTATCTGATGTATAAGAAGGCAAAAAAGGGGGCACCTGGGTGGCTCAGGCGGTTGAATGTCTGCCTTCGACTCAGGTCATGATCCCAGGATTCTGGGATCAAGCCCCCGAGTCAGGATCCTTGCTCAGCTCAGAGTCTGCTTCTCCCTTTCCATCTGACACTCCCCCGTGTTCATGCTCTCGCTCGCTCGCTCTCTCAAATGAAAAAATAAAAAACCTTTGGAAAAAAAACAAAAAAGGAGAGCGCAGACTTTCTGAAATTGTGATGTTACCTTTAATTTTATGCTGATAATGAACAGGAAATCAATGAGACATAAAATGGTAAGGTTTCTGTTTACCCTTTTAATCAGGACTTGCAGATGATAGTCCCTTGGCTCCACATTTATTATTTTTTTATGGGGGAGGGGCAGAGGTAGAGAAAGAATCTTCAGCAGTCTCCACACCCAGCACAGAGCCTGACACAGGGTTCAGAGTTCAATCTCACAACCCTGAGATCATGACCTGAGCTGAAGTCAAGAGTCAGATGTTTAATCGACTGAGCCACCCAGGTGACCCCTCCCCACCCAACTCTACATTTAAACTTTCAGAAATTGGTTTTACGTTAAGAGCCTCTGAGTCCTATAACACTGCAAACTCCCTTTTGGTATTCCCATTATAAGTTATGAACTTGGCAGCTAGGACACGTCCAACAGTGGGAAGTGCTGATGCCTATCTAGGTGGACTTCTAGCACTGCAGCATAATAAATGGTGGGACATAGTGATGTCTGTCAAAAGATCTGTACCTGAAACCTGTAAAGGAAATGTTCAATTTCAGCAGTCCATTTTCCAGTAGATTTTGGTACTTCAGAGCTGTAAGGCTGAAATAGGACTTGGGACCAGAGTTCTCCAACTTCCTCTGTCCTCAGAACTAGTCTTTAGTCTTTTCCCCCCAAAATTAATCAAGTACCTATGTAGCATCTACTATCTAGGAAGTACAGACTAGGCATGAGACATGCCCTTAAGAAATTTACATTATTATTGATTGAAAAGGTAGAATTAACAAGTTTTAGGGCAGGCTAATAATAAAGGACAGGTTCTCCAGGGATAAACTAGATGCTTCAACTATAAGGGCAGTTAGATTTAGAAAAATGTTTCTTTAATTTCCACAAAGTTGTCATTTCTGTTGTGATCCTCTTCTCTGATCATCCTTTTTTAGGCCCTTCTCAGTTGTGCTTCCCACTCATGCAGCCATCCAGCTATGCCTCACTGCAAAATTTCCCATGAAGGAACCCTGTGCTCACTGCCTCTGAGCCCTTACTCCTGATTCCACTGCACTTTAGTGTCTGTCTCACAGTGGTCTTCCTTGCAGCGCTCTCTGCTCTTGACCTCTCTCACCCTCCTGGTTTTGCTCTCACCTTCTCTCAACATTGCTGACTCCATCTTTATCTCTCTCTCTGCCTGCTCCTAAAACCGAGGCATTCCCCTGGGTGCTCAGTCAGTAGTTCCTTTCGCTCTACACTGTCTCCCTGGGTGACTCCTTCCACCCCCACAGCTTCAGCTACAACCTCTGCACAGATGTTCCCAAATCTGTGTTTAGTTCAAGGCCTAAATTTCTACCTGTCAGTTGGTCTTCATGTAGAATTCTGTTAAGTACATCAAACAAGGTGTAAAGATAGAGTTCATTTAAAAACATGTTTTATTATGAGAATTTTCAAAGATAACAAAAGTTTAATAGAATAATGAATTCGTATATATCCCCCACCAGATTTAATATTTATGAATATATTGCCACAGTTGTTTTCTCTATTCCTTTTAAAAATTTTCCTGAAGTGGGGCACCTGGTGGCTCAGTCGGTTTAGTGTGTTACTTTTGGTTGTGGCTCAGGTCATGATCTCATGGGTCATGAGATCCAGACCCGTGGCGGGCTCCATGTTCAGCAGGGAGACTGCTGGAGAATTCTGTCTCTCTGCCCCTCCGCCACTCACACTCCCAGGCTCACTCGCTTGTTCTCTCTCTCAAAAAAAAAAGTACTTCAAAGCAGGTCTCAGATAATCATGAATCTAAATTCTTCACTATTCATCTCTAAAAAATTAGATCATTATTCATCGGTAGTATCCATCATTATCCATCAGTGCCATCCAGTAAACTCCATATTCAGATTTCCCTATATGTCTTTATACATTTGGTTAGAATTAGGATCCAGCAGTATCCATAATATGTTTAGTTGTTATGGCTCTTTTAATTAGAAACAGTCTTCCTTTTTCCCTCCATGCCATTGTCTTGCTGAAGATACAGTCATTTCTCTGTTAGTTTTCAGTTTCTTCCTTTAGCCACATTGAGTTTGATAGGATTGATGTCTCTTATAGCCATACTTCCCTTTCTAATCACTGCCTGCTACAGACCTCTATCATATGTGCTAGCACATTTACAAAAGCTGCCTTGCATTAGTCTCCCTCCCTTTGGGTTCTAGCCATTTATTATTTTCTCCATGATGACCCCAGAATTGGATCTTTTGCAGGGCCTCCACAAAAGCCTTTGGTGCTTCCTCATAACCCACAGAATGAAATCAAAATTTCTTAGTTCATTTCCTGGTCCCAGATTCCTTAGCTTAGCATTAAAGGCATTTTGCAATGTATCCTGGTTTAATTCCTAAATATCTTATGCTTCAGCTACATTGAACTTCTCACTGTACTCTGGTTGATTTACACATCAGACTTCCCAACTAAACTGTGAAGTTCTCAAGGGCAGAAATCACTTCTGTGTTTTAGTATCTGTACCACTCGGCACAGTGCTTGGCCTATAGTTGGTGCTCATTAAATGTTAATGAATTAATGAAATGCCTTTTATTCCCCATATTTCATTACAGCTCCCATGAATTTTATATCCTAAACATGTCTCAAATGTGTCATGTTCTTTCACATCTGTATGTATTCCTTCAAGCTTTTCCATGAGCCTGAAAAATAAGCTCCCCTTAGTTTTCTACCTGTAGAAATTCAATACATTTCATCGTGGTACATAATTAAGTCCTGTGCTGAGCAATTTACAGTGAGAAAGCTGAGAATAATACATCGTCTGTCATATAAATACTGTGATTATTTGCATCTTACAGATAAGAAATATAAGTAATGGGCCTAAGATCCAGACAGAGACATTAGCAGTTGTGGGATTTCAGCCCAGCTCTAACTCTGAAGGCTCTGTTCTTTCTTGACCAATCAACTATTAATTGATAACTTCACAGACATTGTCAAACTGCTTTCCACAGAGCTCTACTGGCATATATTACTACTGTTTTTAACACAGTTTTTTTTAAGATTTTATTTATTTGAGAGGGAGAGAGAGCAAAAGCAGGGGGAGCATCAGAGGGAGAGGGAGAAGCAGGCTCCCCGCTGAGCAGGGAGCCCATGTGGGGCTCAACCCCAGGACCACGACTGGAGCCGAAGGCAGACGCTTAACTGACTGAGCCACCTAGGCGCCCCTGTTTATAACACAGTCTTAAGAACATTATTAACACTTCTTAGTGTTTACTAATTTGACAGGTGCTAAGTGATGCCTTATTGTATTATATAAACAGATTGTTTCAAAAACCCTCTGCATATCTTGTCTTTGGAAAAGTATATGTGTTTTCTTTGTGCCCTCTCATTAGATAAGCTTCGATGAAATGGGGGATTTAATGAGACTATGTTAAATTCTACCCTCATTTTTGAAAGCATGATTATTTTTTATATATATGTGTGTGTATATATATATATTAAAAGCTATAGTGTTTCGCCAAATGCTAATGATAAAATCCATGTATATGTTAACTTAATTGTCATCTAAAAAGCATTGGCATCACATTTTGCTAAATGATCTTTATTCTGAACGTACTCATTCTAAATTGCTTTCTTGGGATGCAGAGGAAGCATGGCACAAAAAATAAGTGGAGAATAAAGGGAATTTCATTAGAAATAAACTTGTTAAACAGGGAATAACATCTTGAACCTGTAGGAATTTCCCTTTCCACCACAGCTTACATGAGAACTGGAAATACTAATCATAAAAACAAGACTGGAAAACAACTAAAGAACCAAAAAGAGTAAACCACAAGGAATGTTAGATGTCAGTATTCTGTTAAAGATAATGTTCAGAAGAGATGGGCAATAATCATCTGCTGCCAAGAAAAATACAAAATAAGAATTCCAAAGGAACCCACAAATGGTTTCAGAGTAATCCCTCTTATCAGAAAAGTTATTACTGGCATTGTGGAAAAAAATTGTATTTTGGCGTCTTTGCCAAAAGATTTTTTCCCAGAAAGAAAAATGAATAACGTTAACAGTGTTTAGTGAGAGCCTGCTGTGTGACTGGCTAGGTTGAAGGTGTGAGTTGCTGGCTAGGTTGGATAGGGCATCACCCCAGCCCCTAAGAAGCTCACAGTCCAGTAGAGAGGATGGACATTTAAAATGCAGTGTGGTGAGTGCTGTAATAACTATACTTGTGTAGCAAGTGCGTCAGAGTACAGAGAAGAGAGGGCACCCTGGGGGAATGGAGTGTTTGGAACCTGAAGGAAGAGCACATTTTTCAGACAGAAGAGGAGAAAGCAAGGGCCAAGACAGAGTCATGGCAACCTTTTTTTAGTGCTGAAGTGGTTTTTGCTTAACTTTTTCTACTCCTGCGAAGTGGTGTGGCGACAGTTGTGTTTATTATAGAGAAAAAATTGAAGAGGGGCGCCTGGGTGGCTCAGTCAGTTAAGCATCTGCCTTCAGCTCAGGTCATGATCCCAGGGTCCTGGGATGGAGCCCCACATTAGGCTCCCTGCTTAGTGGGGAGCCTGCTTCTCCCTCCCCTACTTGTGCTCTCTCTCTCTCTCTCAAATTTAAAAAAAAAAAAAAAACTTTTTTAAAAATTAAAATCGGAGAGAAATATTTGCATCATTCATTGACCATCAAAATGCCATAGTGGAGTATGGGTGTCTTCCAGGTTCCTATGTTCAAGGTCCTATAGGCAAGTATGGCCCATGAGTGACTATATTTATTTATTTGTACCTCCTGTGTTTTTCTTTTTTCAGGCATATTCTGTGTATGATGAAGAGATTGGCTATTGCCAGGGCCAGTCATTTCTCGCTGCTGTTCTGCTTCTCCATGTGAGTATTAGGTCTCTGTTTTGACTTACACATGACCTGCCTCAGCTTATACAGCCTTAGACTTGAGCATGGTTTTATATGGCCTTTGGCCAGACTCTAGTGCATGAGTTTTACTCCTGTATCTGGAAACCTTTTCCGTAATTTGACATCCTCATGGAAGAGAAACACGGTAAGAATAAATGACAGTGTTGAACACTAGTACAAGAGTGGAGTTCATTTTTATTGCTAGAATGATTGGATAGTCTTGGCTGATTGAACCCTTAGGGACATTTTATATTCTATAAAGTAGCCACTGTCATTAGTATTTGTTTGGGGATCTGTGTATTAGTGGTGGGAAGGAAGCAGAGAAGCTGGCTTTCTTTTCGTGCCATTTTATTCATTTATTTATTCAGCAAAGACCTTTACCCTCTGACTTACTGATATTCTTTCAAATCCACAGCTGAACTGAAAAATCATTAAGGTGAAATATCCATAAACTCTTCTTCTATTTTACCAATTAATATTTTACCACACTTTCTCTGTCTGCATCTCTCTTTTCCTCTTTTTTTACACAAATTTTTTTACTAAAAAACATTTTTTGAAATTATTTTTGGAAAATCAGTAGCAAATATCAGGGTACTTCACTCCTATATACTTGAGCATGTATCTCCTAAGGACATAACCATAATACTGTGGTCACATCCAAGAAATTCCACACTGATTCAGTAATGTCTTACACAGAGTCCGCATTGGATTTTCCCCAATTGTTTACACAGTAAAGTCCTTTATAGCCTTTTTTTTCCCCCTAACCAAGATCAGTGAAGATTCAAGCAATGCATTTAGTGTCATTTTTCTTTACTTTTTAAATCTAAACTACTCCCCTCCCCTGCCTTTCTTGTGCTTTATGCCATTGACAGTCTTAGAAAATTCAAGCAAATTGTCTTGTAAAATATTCCACATTCTTGATTTGTCTTATCATTTCCTCATGATTAAAATTAAAATGCTGGGTGAAAACACCACACAGGTGATTTAGCAGAGAGTTTGTGGGCACCTCCATCTTTAGCACAGTAGATGCGAGAGATCAGGAGTGAATAAAGTAGACGTGGTCCCAATCTTCGTGGATACAGAGCTAGTGAAGCTGACTAGCTATAAGCAGAAAGTCACAGAAGTATGTCTTTATTACCTCAATGGCGACATGAAGGTATAGTAAAAAGTTTGATGCAAGATTATAACAAAGGAGCCTTATTTATATCACAGGCTTCTCTGGGGAGGTAACCTTTAAGGTGAATGCTGAAAAATAAGAAGAGGTATCCATTTTCTTTTGTACTTATCTGTATCATTTAACTTTTTTAAGCTAACATTATTATGAAAATAAGAAAACTATTTTAAAAGAAAAGTGGAGAGTAGAGCACTCCCACCAGAGAGAATAGTACAACCTTATAGAAGCACTGAAATGGGCAAGACTTGGCCTATGAAAGGAACTGGAAGCTGGGCAGTGTGACTGGAGCATTACCTGTGATGGGGGTTGGGGAGGGAGCTGGAGAGGCCAGCTCAAGGAGTTCGGATTTTGTTTCCCTAAATAAGGGGAAGCTTTTGAAGAGTTTTAAGCCGTTTTGTGTAGGTTGTAATACAAGTAAAACCAAAACCACTCTGTATCTTCTTTCTGTGAGAACCTAGTTTATTGATATTAGTAACCATGTAAAAATATGATAAAGCTATGACATTAATAAAAGGGTCAAGTTTTTTCCCCAGCTTTATTGAGATATAATTGTCAAATAAAAATATGTGTGTGTGCGTATGGTGTATAATTTGATGAGTTGATATGCTATACATTGTGAAATGATCCATAGTCAAGCTAATTAACATCCATCAAAAGGTCAAGTTTTAAAATTTTGTTGTTTTAATAAGACTTTATATCTGAGAGTCTCTCAAGCTTGTGTGGTTTGTCTTTGTTCTCAACTTCAGTCCAAGAACATTTGTCCCCATTTAAGTATCACAACCCCTTTAAAATGGGTTTCCCAGGACGCCTGGGTGGCTCAGTCGGTTGGTTAAGCGGTTGCCTTCAGCTCAGGTCATGATCCCAGGGTCCTGGGATCGAATCCCACAGCTGGCTCCCTGCTTGGCAGGAGCCTGCTTCTCCTTCTGCCCCTGCCTGCCGCTCCCCCTGCTTGTGCACTCTCTCTTGCTTTCTCTCTCTCTGTCAAATAAATAAATAAAATCTTTGGAAAAAAAAAATAAAATGGGTTTCCCAGATAAATCCACAGTGTCTTGGTTTGAACTCTGCGCTGCTTGCCATTGTGTTAAGATAAATGCTTGTTTCAGAGGAAAAGCAGTTGTGCTACCTGACATCAGAAATGCTTCTCTGGGGCAGACCAAGTGTCCCACAGCATGGGGAAGAAATTATGAAATTGCCTTCCATGATAGAGACCTCTGAGATCTGGTCCTTTGCTCCAAATGCCCTTACTTGTCCAATAATAATTTGCTGTGCTTTTCTCCTTTATTACTTAATCTGATTTGTTCTTTAGCTCTGCTTTATTCTCAGTGATGTCTATGTTCAGCCCACCTCATCCCCTTGTTCCACAGAAGCCCGCCCACCTTCTTGACATTTTGAAGGTTTGCTACAGTCATACCAAGCCTTAAATAACATTTCCAGTACTTTTTTTCTATTTTGAAAACTAGACATTTTGCCAGGTTCTCAGGGAAATATTTTTTCCACAAAGCTATGAAAGATGTAGGTATTATTATAAATGGGTAACATCTGTAAATAGAAGTGAAGTGAGGGGTTTTGTAGTATTTTAAGTATTACCATAAACATTACAAAGTACTTTGAACATTACTGTTAAACCTTAGAATATTTAAGGTTCTGCTGTAACTGGCCGTGTTTGTAACAACGAGGAAGAGGAAAATAGCTAAGGAGGTAGAATGATTTAATAAAGGTGTCATGATTTGAGAAAGATGAAACCTATACTTGTGTATCAGCCTATTGCTTCTCAGTTCAGATATGGTCCTACAAAGCCTATTCTTGGCTCCTTCAGGCAGACTCAGGCTTTCTTGTTCTTGTATCCCCACTGATCTTTCTACCTAATTCATAGGTAGTTGTGAATATGAATTCTACCTAATTCATACTTACTGTGTACTGATTGATTGTATGGGAAGCTTCTCGAGGATAGCAACAGTATCTGACAAAGAATAGGCATCATTAATATCCCTTGGTTGAGTGAACGAATGTCGTAAAACACAACTACCTGAGTTACTACATATCACTGAAATTTCCTAGTTTTTAGATAGGAGTGGAAGGATGAATTTAACATACTGAGAAAACTTCTGTATGTTTTGTGATCCCCACCCCTTTCTCTATCTTTACAGATGCCTGAAGAACAGGCATTCAGTGTTCTGGTCAAGATCATGTTTGACTATGGTCTCAGGGAACTTTTCAAGCAAAACTTTGAAGATTTACATTGCAAATTTTACCAGTTGGAGCGCCTCATGCAGGTAAAAAAAGAAACCAGCTTGCATTTGCCACTAAGAGTGCAGGACTTGGGAGAACCAGGTTGATGAACTGCTGGTGCTAAGGAGCAGTGGTGATTGCCTTAGCCATCCAGGGTTGACTGGTTTGATGTTTTTCATTTCTCACTATGTGATGACGATGCCAAGATTAATAAGGTGTGAACCTGATGGGTGTGAGCTAGGTTTTCACCCAAAAGATCAGATGACTTTGTAGGGGCCTTTAACACAGCAAACTAAGTCAAGAAATATCTGCCAAGGCTCTGAAGCTAACTGGTTAGGAATATCATAATAAAAGTGAAACAAACTTTTCCAAACATTTCATAACTTGGAAAGAAAAACTATCATTCCAAATATTTGTCACCATCTTGGGGATTCCTCTTCTGAGCTAGTTTGTGGGCTGGAAAGGGGAGCCAAGTGTCAGATAATAAGTGTTGTTCTGAGCACATTGGAGGTTTGTAGGAAAGCACAAATATGTGACTTTTTTGGCCTATTCCTGGCAGATTTATGAGCCTTCCAAGTGGGAGTTGAACATCTGCGTATGTGCCCAAAACTAATTAGTTTGCTATTTCAGGAATACATCCCTGACCTGTACAACCACTTCCTGGATATAAGCCTTGAAGCGCACATGTATGCCTCCCAGTGGTTTCTTACACTTTTCACTGCAAAATTCCCTCTCTACATGGTCTTCCATATCATTGACCTGCTTTTATGTGAGGTATGTATCAGAGGCCACAGCACTCTGGCTTTTGGCTTTTGTTTTCGTTATCCTCCTGTGTCAGCTCCATTAAAATAGAATTTCTTCTTAGTTAATTTTATTTTTGTGCTCAAAAATCCAGATTTAAGTAACTCTTCCTTGGGCTAAACCTAACAATCAAGTTTTGTTAAAGGTGTTCTCTGCTAAAAAGAAAGCAATCAACTTACTGTTTACACATTTGTATTACTGTTAGGTCTGGCTGCATTTATTGAAGAAACCCAAAATAACAATGACTAAATAAAGTAGAGGTTCATTTCTCTCTCATGTGAAAGAAGCCAGAACGTTGGCAGTTACCTGCCTTCCCTAGAGGGCCAGGGAACAGGGGAGGATGTGTCCCCTCCTTAAAAGAGACTTCCTGGAGGTTCTACCCAAATTTTCACTTATCTCTTATTGGCCTGACCACATCTAGCCACAAAGGAGAGTTTTTTAAAAGCTGGGTGGGAATTTGCTAACAATTGGAGGGTCTGTTACTAAAACAAAAATAAGATATCAGAATACATAACAGTCTTTGCCGCGGCATAGTTTTGGGGTGTATGTGTTTAAGAAAAAAATAATTTCAAAAATAATACGTATGTATTATAGAAACCGGAAAACACAAGCAAAAGGATTTCAAAATACTTTAATCCCACTCTCTAGAGTAACTCTTAACATTTTGGTGTATATTCTTTCAGCCTTTTTTTGTGTTTATTTATGTACATGTGTTAACTTCTATACAGAATAACTTTTCATATGGAGTATTATGTAATAATGTAATTATGGCTCTGTAAGTATGTATTTTAAAATATGATTCTGCCTATGCTATTCGATAACCTCTTTTCATTTCATATACTTGAACACTTATAGACACACATCTATACCATCCTTCTTCGTGTTTATGCCATTTTCAAGGCGTACAAAAATCCATTAAAGCATTTGTACCTTCTACCCAGCTTAAAACACTGTCAGAAACACTGATACCAAATACACTATTATTCTTACCTGCTGCCAAGTATCTCATTCTTTGGGGATATCATAGTTTATGTAACCAATTGCTAGTCTCAGACCTTCAAGTTTTATAGTTTCTCAGCATTATAAACAACCATTTGTTTTAAGTAGTTACCACCGGCCTGGTCATGCTAAGTAACTTAAATGAACCTTTCAACTAATTAGCTCAGAAAACCCTTGGGGGAGAGTATTAGTTATAGAAACCAGCGTCCAGGGACTTAAAGAATTTAGCAGGTCTTCATGCCTCCCCTTATCTTTCCTTTGCCCCTAGCACTCTCAGAATGGTTAGCTGAGGAAGGGCAGATTTGAGGGAGCCCTGAGCAGGTTCTGTTCTGGGATAGAGGGTTCACAGACAGAGTGACTGCTGCTATATTTGGAGTGGGGTAGCACAAGATAAAGGAAAAGGTCACCTGCGGTTATTTCCTGAAAGATCACAATTTTATGGGTCAGATGCTTCGGTTGGGAAGCATAGAATACTTTGGAAAAGCGTTCTTTCTTGTTGATTGTGAGACTAGGGCTAAAAAAGTCCAGAAGAATGGGAGACTGGGTCTATTTTAAGCTGTTTTTCAAGTAGCAGATCTGTAATTATTATTTTTCAAGATATTTTCAAGATATTCCATTTCTTAGTTTTTATACTTTCTTTAAAATTGTGGGGCATACTGGGGACAGACAGCTGACTGGTCCAGATACAATCACTGAAAATCTTCTTTTTGTGTTTTCTCTTTTAGGGAATAAGTGTGATTTTTAATGTCGCCCTTGGATTATTAAAGGTACACATTTATTTGTAAATTGAGTGACATCCCCAGTCCAGCACTCGAAGTATGTTGGTCTTGATCTCCTTCTAAGCAGCCACCGTGCGGTAGCCGTGGCCCTGACAGTGACTCAGGCACTGGCTAAGAAGCATCTTCTGGGGATTGTAAAGGTGCTGGTGTTTTAAAATGCTTCTTGTGCATCTTCATAGGAAAGAACTTTTCCTATACATGGTTGTGTTTTCTTTCTTTCTTCAAGACTTCTAAGGATGACTTGCTGTTGACAGACTTTGAAGGTGCCTTGAAGTTCTTCAGGGTTCAGCTTCCTAAGAGATACCGCTCAGAAGAAAATGCAAAAAAACTAATGGAATTAGCTTGCAGCATGAAGGTAAAATAATATTTGCATTAATTTAGATTCTTTTGTTCATGTTTCATCATTCCTGATCAAACTATGAACATTTACAATACGTTAATAATGATGATGCTTGTATTGTATAATTTTTTTCCAGATATTTTCTTACATATTATATATCCTATTTATTAAATCTCATTGTTCAAATCCCAGCCTTTGGACTCTAGGGAAGGTATTCTTCTCATTTTGAAGACCCAGGAAACAAAAAGAGGCTGTAGCTCCTAGCGTCATACAGCTAAGCAGTGGCAGGACTCAGGTTTCATGATTTCCACTGTGTTGTTCTTTAACTTTCCGTACTTGTGGTTATGGTCAGAAATTCCGTCAAATGAAACTAATAATTAATGAAGGAAACTCATTTTTATCACTTTCAATGGTATTTATGATTTGTATAATTTTTTAAGGTAAAAAAAAGGTAGCATCTCCTTGTATTCACTTTGTAATGTGAGTGGGAGAAACTTCAGTATCTGCTAACCAGAGCATGGACTTGGAATCAGAGAGATCTGAATTCAGTTACTTTACCTATTTAAGGCACAGTTTCCTCATATGTAAAATAATAGTGGACCTCCGGTTCTGGTTATATGTCAGACTAAGCTAACTCAGGCTTCCCTTCTTTAAACACTTGGAGGTAGCAAATACCTGGATGAACTTGAAAGAAAAAAGAGAAATCCCAGGTACCTAAATCACAGTAGCTCAAAGCTAGTGTGTATGAAGTGGTAAAACAACATCCCAGGGGAATATGGTAGGACCTATAGGTGTAGGTATGAGGGTTTTAATGCTCACGAAGCCATATAATATGAAAATGGGCCTTCAGGAGGTAGCTGAACCTGGAATCTCTGCATAAAGTTAGGACCCTGGAATGCCTGCCCTCTTTGTGAAAGGGGGAAGGAAGTACTAAAACTACCTACCTGTTAAGCTTGAGAAACAATAGGAATCCTAATATAAATTGAATCAAGGATTTGAAAAAGAAATAGAGCCTCTAGTTAGTAAAATAATTATTAAAGTTATTGTTCAGCTTAAAATGTTACATACTTCAAAAGTACTCTGGATAAGATTTAATGATATTTTCCCATGTGCCAGGTACTGTGGTTAAGTGCTGTCATGTGTGAGAATTAACTACACTGTGTACAGTGCTTACCATGATGCCTGGTAATTAGTAAGCATTCAAGAAATAATGGCTCTTACTGTGGTTATTCCCTCTCTGGTTTTTCTTTTTTCTTTTTTTTAAAGATTTTATTTATTTGAGAAAGAGCACAAGCAGGGGGAGTGGGAGAGGGAGAGGCAGGCTCCCCACCAAGCGGGGAGCCCAGCGTGGAACTTGATCCCAGGACCCTGGGATCATGACCTGAGCCAAAAGCCGACGCTTAACCCACTGAGCCACCCAGGCGCCCCCTGGTTTTTCAAGCAGATCTCAAATGCACACTTTTTAGAAACATTTTCAGATGGTGGGTTTGTGCACAGAGCACAGAACCAGGTGAACTCTGCGGTTCTCTGAGTCATTCTTTCCACTTCAGCCTGGTTCACACAAGAGGAGGCCTCTTAGTTGCTGATTTCTTCCCTTCCAAAATCTCCTTTTTCAGTGTCCCATCTTAAGTTCCTGGAACTTGGCACCTCAGGCCAAAACCCTTGCTTATTCTCCATACCTCTTTCTCTCTCACACCACATCTTGGTCCTCCATCCCAGCCCTGTTTTCACAGTACACCCTGAATCTGATTGCTTTTGCCCCTTCTCACTAACACCCTAGTGTAACCATCACTGTCACTTGTCTTCTGGAATGTTCCAGTGGACTCCATGTCTTCCCATTTCCACAGTGGTTTTCTTTCTCTCTCTCTCTCTTTTTTTTTTTTTTTTAAGATTTATTCACTTGAGAGAGAGCGGTGGGGAGAGGCAGAGGGAGAGGGAGAGAAGCAGACTCCCCACTGAGCATGGAGCCCAGTGACTGTGCTGGGCTTGATCCCAGGACCCTGAGATCATGACCTAAGCTGAAACCAAGAGTCAGATGCTCAACAGACTAAGTCACCCAGGTGCCCCAATGGTTTTCTTTTTTAATCCCATCTGTCCCTTACTTAAAACTCTAATGGCTTCTTATCTCAGAATGAAACTCAAGAGTTTTTGCCTTGGCCTACAAGGTGCCGTGCCGTCTGACCTCTGACCATCTCTCTGATTTCATCTCCTCCTTTTCCCCCTTACACCTTCCACTTCAGACAACCTGGCCTTCTTGCTGTTCTCAAACATGCTGAGCATGTTCACTCCTCAGGCCTCTTCACTGGCTGGTCTCTCCACCCATCATGTTCTTCTTGGTGTCCACGTGGTGTCACAGTCACCTCATTGAGTCTTAAGCTCAGATATCATGCCATCAGAGGCCTTCTCTAATTACCGTAGCAGCTCCCTCAACACTTTACACCCTGATCTCTTTACCCTGTCTTATTTTCCTCCTATCACTTATTGTTACTTAACATTATCTTATATGTTTATTTGATTATTGTCTGCCTGCCCCCTCCCCAAACTAAGCCTGCAGCAGAGAGAACTTGATCTCATTTATTGCCAGATCCCCAGCATAAGAACAGGACTTGACATATAAAAATTAGTTGAATGAGTGAATTAAATGAATATGCTGCTGAGTTTCTACCAAGTGTTGTCTTTTGAAGAGTTGGAGAGTTAATGTGGCTTTGGGGAAGGCTTAAAATAGCTTCCAGCTGAAGGTTTTACCTTTTGGGTTTTCAGTAGCTTGAAACACTTTAATAATATATGGATCCTTTATTTCCATAGTCCAGGTTGGAGGTGTCTAATATCTTTTTTTTTTTTATGCCTGTGCTTTCAAGGAGTTAAGGTAGACAAGGCTGCATAGCACACATATTTTGTGCTTAGATACATAATTCCTTCTGGCCCTGGAGAACTCTGCATGGCTGGGGTACACTTTGGATGATTCCCCCTACTTGCATATGGTTTCGGGTGAGAAAGTTAGTAATTTTTCTTAAAATTGATTCACGGTGTGGAAAGCCTGCATATTGAACAGGACATGAGAATGAAATTGTTCTGCTAAAAGGTGGGATGTAGTGTAGTTAGTGATAGTTACTTGTACTCTGGTAGGTATATTAATGCCAAAAATTATTAAGAGAAACATAGGCAGTAGTTGAGCCAATTATTGGCAAAGAACCTCAGGCACAGTGATAATTTGCTAGCTCAAAAATAAGGAAACTCATCAGCAGGCTCAGTCATGAGCCCTGCATTATGTGGACTGTATCATGTGGGAGGGCCTCCGTTGGCTGGAAAGGACAAATGATCATCTGTGGGTTTGGAGCCCCCTCTAGACATGGAAAAGGGGATTCTTGCTTTATGAATGGCTTGGAAACTAGCTTTTGAACTTTCTGGTGTAGAACTTAGAAAGGAAACTGGCTTTGTAACTCATTGAAATCCCATTTCATTATTTTTTAATTTCTTAAATATTGTGGCTTAGTTTTCTCAGTTGTACTTCCTGACTAGGGTGGGAATTAGGAATACTTTGCCTCACATGCCAGTTGAGGAAACAGTTACCTACTTTTGTTGCTGTTGTGTTTTAACAGTTTTGATGTTGTAATTTCCAGTATTTGTGTAGTTTTTATGGATATCTCCTTTCTTCCCTTCAGTACCGTGTGAGGTATGCAGGGCAGGTCAAGTGTGGCAGCTGAGGCTTATAGAAGTCAAGTGACTTACCCACTGGACCTCGCTGGGCAGCGATGGGGGCCCTTGTGGAACTCAGGCCTTCTGACTCCACATTCCCAAAGCCTTCCACGCCATTGTGTGGCCTCTTAACTGCAGAATTGCAGTAGGAATTAAGTCAGGTGTGGCAATATCTGAAATGGCCACCAGATGGGGATGTTGCTCAAAAAGGTCTGTATTCCTCTCTGCCTGTGTGTCTTCCTTTTCTCTATAAATCTTTCTCTGTCAATCTTTATTTTCCTCTTTCTTAATTTCTCTCTTTTCAGTCCTTTTACTTCTCCCCTTCTCGCTCTTGCTCCTTACTTTTATTATGGAACTGAAATATTTTGTTTACTTTTTAAAGAGTCTTAGATCCTCTGCTCTTAATCTCAAATTTAACAGTATACATCAGAATTCATTGAGCCGTCCATTGAGTTGCTCTTCCTTTATGGGTCATTGTCTTGAGATAGAAAGATCGTTTCCACTTCTGATAGAAGATCTAAAAGGAATTTCACTTTTTTTTAAAAAAAGATTTTCTTTTTAAGTAATCTCTACAGCCAACGTGGGGCTCAAACCCACAACCCCACGATCAAAAGTCCCATGCTCTGCCAACTGAACCAGCCAGGCGCCCCAGGAATTTCACTTTGAATAGATTGTTCCAGGAGATCATCAATGGTCCTAGGAGCTCCATAACTCTTTCATACTCATAACTGGGCTATGCATTGTGTTTAAAGGGAGAAAATGGGGAAAAACTTAATTCGTAGGTCTTAAATTTTTTTGATTCAAGAAATATGAGAGCAGCTGGTTTTTTGAGACGTTTGAGAGCAAATCAGATATGTAAGGCTAGTTCAGAAGAAGTAGGAGCCATAACAGAGATGGCCGGTGGGTTTCTTAGAACAAACCTGAGTGAAAACTTGACCGTTTCACTCTGGAATCCTATCTGAGGTGAAATGGATCTTCTGAACCATTGAATGCTTCATTGGGATGTGTTATTTCAAACTTACAGTGAATGTGCAAGACTTCAAACTACCTATAGAAAAAGATATTACAGAAACCAAATAGCAGTGTCTCCAAACTAATGGAATCCTAACCATTTGCTATTTGGAGAAACAGAAAACCCTGGCATTTGGGAATATTTGCCTTTGGGGGATATTTTTATTCAGGAACTAAAAGTAGTATTAGTTTGAACTTCATTCTCTGCTCAGATCATTTGTATATTAGTGTATGTTAGGATTTTAAGCTCTATGATTGCAGTGTTGCTTCTTAATTGTGTTCACAGAATCTTGCGTAGTGTCTGCACA